CATGTCACACAAACGACGACTCAGCACATCTGCCCGCCCAAACACCGCAGACATTATAAACATCATCGATTTTTGCCAAACCGCCGATCGACCGTCGGAGGCGCCGCCACGCCCACTCTGCTCTCCAACTTCGTTCGTGTGCCGTCGCTTCAACTTCAAACTCAACATTCTCCAGACAGGACGATGCGGGAAGCAGATGACTGTAGCATTGGAATCTAATGCATGTCGTAACAGGCCACTAAGGAGCGTTGATTTAATGCCGGTGACCTCCCTGGATAAAACTAGCGGCCAAATATGACCAATGGGAAACTGGTTTACAAACGACTTGGCTATGAGCACTATGTCCCACTGGCAACTGAAAGGACAGACAAGTGGTAGTTCCATATTCTACATAACTAGGCTACCACCCAAGACTTAATGAAATATGTTGTATCATACTCAACAATTTGTTACTGACAAGTTCTCGTCTTTCCAGCGACGGTGTTAAATAGTGATACAGCAGAACTATTCAACTGGCGGCCCACAGACGACTGCGGGCCGCAGAAGCCTAACAAGCAGTCCGCGAATCACTGGTAATTTTACTGAAAAGAAATGTCACTGCTGGGAGTGGGGCCTGTGACGTTCCTCGTTTTCAACATTCTGACTCTTTACATCTCTGCTTTGGTCCTCTACTTCTTATTGTAATTGTTTGTCTTCTTCTTCATCATCTTCTTCTTCTCCATCTTCTTCTTTGTCTTCTTCTTCTCCTGCTCATCATCATCATCATCATCATCCTCTTCCCCCTCTTCCTCTATCGTCACATCCTCTTTTACAGCTTCGAGTACAGAGGTCAATTGACAGTTCTGATTTTCGCTCTTCTGCGAGCCTCGAACGTCCACCTTGGACAGATAATAATGAGCCGGTGTTATCGTCTTTCTATGAAACCGTGTTGTCTTCTTGCTTGTGTCGCTCCTCATCGCCTGCCATCAACGTGCCTCCCCTCCCCCCTCCCGCCCAACCAGTATGGTTTTCATAAGTGTGTTGTCATCCTAAGTGGCCAAAAAGTGTAATCCCCCCCCCTCCCCCCCCCCGTCTTCAACAACTTTCTTTTTAAACCCAGTGTTTTCATAACTTCTGTATTTGATAGTTTTTGTTTCCATGAAATACGACATTTTCTTCTGAAAATCCACAACTTTCTAGACGCAGTCAGTCTAACTGGTTGTTTACAATCCAGGTTTCTGCACCATACAGCAAGACGGAAGGGAAGAGGGGGGGGGGGGAATAACACATGGCAATTAGTATTGTCAGGTCCAGGTAAAAGCCAAAAGTCCGAGCGGACGATTAACCGGGACCTTCGCCGCAATTCACAGCCGGTGAACGAAGAAAAAGAAGAAGAAGAAGTATTGTTACTGTGCTATTTATCAAACAACGATAAACACAAGTTTAAAAGATAAAATCCACGCGGTTAATGAGGTGGCGGCCAGTGTTCCGACTGTTGCCGGATTGAAGTCACACTGGCGCAGACAAACCTGGCGGGTGCCACGCCCCTTAGCCCTGGCTATTGACACGGACACAAACTGCCAAACAAGCGCTGACGTGTGTGTTTACACCCGCACCTGTGCCTGGGTGCCGCAACAACCACGGTCGTAACAGTCTTAACAACAGATGCCACGATGTGTCTGGGGTACAAAGCCTATATTCTTTAACACTCTCTTCTTCTTCTTCTTCTTCTTCTTCTTCTTCTTCTTCTTCTTCTTCTTCTTCTTCTTCTTCTTCTTCTTCTTCTTCTTCTTCTCCTTCTTCTTCTTCTTCTTCTTCTTCTTCTTCTTCTTCTTCTTCTTCTTCTTCTTCTTCTTCTTCTTCGTCTTCTTATTTTCTTCTTCTTCTTCTTCTTCTTCTTCTTCTTCTTCTTCTTCTTCTTCTTCTTCTTCTTCTTCTTCTTCTTCTTCTTCTTCTTCTTCTTCTTCTTCTTCTCCTTCTTCTTCTTCTTCTTCTTCTTCTTCGTCTTCTTAATCTTTTTCTTCTTCTTCTTCTTCTTCTTCTTCTTCTTCTTCTTCTTCTTCTTCTTCTTCTTCTTCTTCTTCTTCTTCTTCTTCTTCTTCTTCTTCTTCTTCTTCTTCGTCTTCTTATTTTCTTCTTAATCTTCTTCTTCTTCTTCTTCTTCTTCTTCTTCTTCTTCTTCTTCTTCTTCTTCTTCTTCTTCTTCTTCTTCTTCTTCTTCTTCTTCTTCTTCTTCTTCTTCTTCTCCTTCTTCTTCTTCTTCTTCTTCTTCGTCTTCTTAATCTTTTTCTTCTTCTTCTTCTTCTTCTTCTTCTTCTTCTTCTTCTTCTTCTTCTTCTTCTTCTTCTTCTTCTTCTTCTTCTTCTTCTTCTTCTTCTTCTTCTTCTTCTTCTTCTTCTTCTTCTTCTTCGTCTTCTTATTTTCTTCTTAATCTTCTTCTTCTTCTTCTTCTTCTTCTTCTTCTTCTTCTTCTTCTTCTTCTTCTTCTTCTTCTTCTTCTTCTTCTTCTTCTTCTTCTTCTTCTTCTTCTCCTCCTTCTTCTCCTTCTTCTTCTTCTTCTTCTTCTTCTTTTTCTTCTTCTCTAGCCCTGCACTGAATTTCAGCCCTAGGCTGTGAAAAGGAATCAGGTATGAGCCTTGGTAGGTGCTATGGAAACGCTGGTATTTAAAGCCTAAGATATTCTATCTATCCATGGCTTGCGTGGTCGGCCTCTGGTTCTGCTTCCATTATGTCTTTCTGTGCTATCTACGGTGCACTATTTGGATGTAGTTCAGTCATTAATGCTCAGTGGTAATTGTCCATAAGCATCAGTGTGATTTATCTTCTTTTTGCTTTTTTGAGCAAGATTTCATCTACTGCCAGCTTGCTAGGCCTACCGCACATTAGGAGAGTATTTAGCCAGAAGGTCCTCATCCCGCCTGGCCAGCCAGAGCTCCGTTAGCCTGACACCTCGCGGCTACAGTCTTCGCGTGCCAAGCGGTATGGTTCCAAAGTGTCCGGAGCTGACCCGGCTCTGTGACCTAGACTAGTAGTAAAAAAAAAGTAAAGATCCCTTTTCACGCCTTTTGGCGCATCGGGCCCATATTTTTACAGACCATCAGCACTTTGTGGGTAATTTGATCAACATTACGCCGGCTGTCTTTACTTTCCCCGGACAGCCCATCCTGGTACCCATTTTAGAGACAGTTGATCAGAGACAGTCAATCAGAGACAGTTAATCAGAGACAGTCAATCAGAGACAGTTAATCAGAGACAGTCAATCAGAGACAAACAGTCAAAAAGGTAAAAGAACAACAGATAAAGACGTACATCCAGGAAAAGACGATCATATAGACAGACAGACAGACAGACAGACAGACAGACAGACAGACAGACAGACAGACAGACAGACAGACAGACAGACAGACAGACAGACAGACAGACAGACAGACAGACAGACAGACAGACAGACAGACAGACAGACAGACAGACAGACAGACAGACAGACAGACAGACAGACAGACAGACAGACAGACAGACAGACAGACAGACAGACAGACAGACAGACAGACAGACGGACGGACGGACGGACAGACAGACGGATACACACAACTGCGGCTAAACCTCCATCTAGACCAAGTTCAGGCGTACACAGATCGCAGACCCATCTCACAGTGAGATGCCAGACTACAGAATCGCTGCGGAAGTTGCCGAAGAGCGGGGCGGAAGTTGCCGAAGAGCGGGTCACGGCTACGACACACCGACCAGATCGACACATTGATCTACCTACCTGCTGCCCGCGACAGGCGTCACGCGTTTCTGCACGCGCAGCAATTCGACTTTTGCTGCGCATGCAAAAACTGCACGTCCATGAGTGATCACACAAGTGAATGTGAAACAATGTTGGCGCTGAGTGATCTCAAAAGTGAATGTAGAACAATGTTTGTGGTGAGTGATCACACAAGTGAGTGGGGAACCATTTTGGCGGTGAGTGATCACACAAATAGGTGTAGTCCAACGTAGGCGGTGAGTGATCACACAAATAGGTGTAGTCCAACGTTGGCAGTGAGTGATCACACAAATAGGTGTAGTCCAACGTTGGCAGTGAGTGATTACACACATAGGTGTAGTCAAACGTTGGCAGTGAGTGATCACACAAATAGGTGTAGTCAAACGTTGGCAGTGAGTGATCACACAAATAGGTGTAGTCCAAAGTTGGCAGTGAGTGATCACACAAATAGGTGTAGTCAATCACACAAATAGGTGTAGTCAAACGTTGGCAGTGAGTGATCACACACATAGGTGTAGTCCAACGTTGGCGGTGAGTGATCACACACATAGGTGTAGTCCAACGTTGGCAGTGAGTGATCACACAAATAGGTGTAGTCAAACGTTGGCAGTGAGTGATCACACAAATAGGTGTAGTCCAACGTTGGCAGTGAGTGATCACACAAATAGGTGTAGTCAAACGTTGGCAGTGAGTGATCACACAAATAGGTGTAGTCAAACGTTGGCAGTGAGTGATCACACACATAGGTGTAGTCCAACGTTGGCAGTGAGTGATCACACAAATAGGTGTAGTCAAACGTTGGCAGTGAGTGATCACACAAATAGGTGTAGTCCAACGTTGGCAGTGAGTGATCACACAAATAGGTGTAGTCAATCACACAAATAGGTGTAGTCCAACGTTGGCAGTGAGTGATCACACAAGCGGGTGTGGAATAATATTGGATGTCTGAACCACTCCACAGAAACAGTTTAATCAACGCAGTTATCAATTTTCATTGATCTCCAGCAAATGCATCATAACATCAAAAAAACGTGAACCAACAGAGATTCCCTGTTGTCCTCAGCTGTTAGCCGGGGTCACACAGAGATGTCCCTACACTGGCCGGGGTCTCACAGAGATGTCCCAACAATGGCTGGGGTCTCACAGAGATGTCCCAAAAATGGCTGGGGTCTCACAGAGATGTCCCAACACTGGCTGGGGTCTCACAGAGATGTCCCAACAAGGGCTGGGGTCTCACAGAGATGTCCCAACA